ATTTTTCAGACTATAAGCCGCGCCTTTTCCCCTATTTTTTCGACGCTGCGGCTTATATAACGGTGCGGCTAATCTATGGATTTTTTACAGCTAACGGCCAACACCTTTAACTCTATGGGCTCTATGGCCGGTCCGCGGACCCCCACCTTTAAGCGGCGGGTTCCAGCAGGAAAAGCTGGAGGCCGGAAAAGAGTGAGACAGGTAGCGCGCAAAAGTAAAAGTGGAACCGAGAGTGGTATGCCGCTGCTGCGGCTTATATTCAGGTGCGCCTTATAGTCCGAAAATTACGGTAATTTAAATAATCATACCAGTATTTAATGTGTGCTGGTCACCTGGAATCCTGGTAAGCTCCCAGCAGGGTATATTTAATACTATTATTAAACATAAGCTGGTGATAGATGGATAAACCAGCCATCCTGGCCAGCTAAAGTGTCCAAAACCCCTCTCCAGCCAACCATTCCAGCCTAATATCTACTGGCTGGTCAATTTACAACAGCCTGACCAGCTACATTTATCTAAGCTGGTTTTTTCAGCAGTCATTATTATTTATTTACTTTTTTTTGAGAATTTCTATGAATTATAGTCAAATGTATATACCAGTCTCTGTTCTGTTGCCTTAGCCAAGTTTGCCTGCTACATTACGATATATTATTATTGATTTACTATTTATTGAGAATCTCTATGAATTAAGGTCAAATGTATACCAGTCTGTGTTCTGTTGCCGCATCGGATCTCCGCCAAATCCAAGATCATCACCCCCCTAGTTTGCTCCCGTCTGTATCTCTACCGCTACTTGAATACTGTGGCTCAAACTGGTATGGTTCCACCACGTTAGACTCACCCGCATGATCTGATTCCACCACACCGCCATCCTCTTCAATAAAATCCTCCTCTTCTTGAAAGTGCACCGAGTCTATTGACGACTCACTGTCACTCGATTCTGTCTCCAGAGTCCGACATCAGCCATATAGGTAGTGTATTATTCAACAAGTGTTCTACTCGTGACGTGCGTGACGTCACCTACCGGCGAAATCTGTTTTGTTCGGAGCGGTCGTGTAACATCGGAAGCGAGCATGGAAAGTTGTAATAAATGACGATTTATAAATACATATACATATTGTCATGAATGACATGATTTCCCATTAATAATAGTATATATATTATCGTAATAAGAACAGTATTGTCCTTCATTTCGTAAGCTTTTTAAAACAAATGAATAATGACTATATAATAATTTAAGAATAATAAACGGAGCCTCTCTTTTCCTCCCCCTCTTCTGAGAGCCCAGCAGCTGATCTTTGAGCAGGAGAGGTGGGGAGAGGCTGGACTATTGCTTCATCGTTATCAGGACATGATCGTATAGGCGTAGACACGGAGCTGTTTGACACGGAGAGCGTTTCGTTTGCAGATCTACCCACCTAGGGACCGTTATCGTTATAGTTTTCTGCGTTTCCATGTCGGCCTCGTGTGCCAAACCGTCTATCTGATAGAGAAATGTAGCAGATACGACCGTTATCGTCCTCGTGTGGCAAGCACCTTAAAAATGTGACGTGTATTGTACTTGGAACAACAAAGAAGATCCAAAGTTAAGATTTTCTTTACTTTCTCTTAGAAAAAAGGATGGAAAAAGGCTTCAGGCCATGCACAGAGAGGACGATAAACAATGATATCCAGTCAGCCAATGGGTGTATGTCACACAGGTTTATTATGATGCTAATGAGGTTAATGCCAATCGTCAAAGTCAAGAGCTGTAACATTAAAAGTAAAAAATATAGGATGGTGAATTTAAATATTAAACACTGACAAACCGAAGGGAAATCCCTGTTTGAGTGTCAAAGGACATCGATGCCCTATTGATTTTAATTTCATTTTTTACACAGTTCAATACTCAATTACGATTGGGCAATTTGGATAATCCAGAGGTTCTTTAATTGTTGCTAACAGGCCGCTCCTAAGGAGAACAGAGCATTGCTAAAGAGGATTAAGGGGCTATGTGCAGTCATATAAACACTTTGAAGAAGTCCAGTCATTAATGAAAAGAACAACGACATGGTGATCTTGACTCAACCTGTTGGTGTTCTTTTTTCATTAATGACCCTGCACATTATGCCTTACATACTGTATCAACGGCGATCATCGATCTCGAACGACATTATGTAATTGTTTCCCTAACTGACCATCATAACTGGGCTCCATGTAGATACAATTATTTTTTGATGTGATAAGCAAAAACTCTTTCTGTATTTACTGGCAGTCATATGAAAGCATGTTTTCGCACAAAAAGGGGGCGGGGCCATGACAAAGGGCAAGCACCCGGATTGGTTGCTCTCATTTATAGTCTCTATCACATTAACATCTATACAGATAAAGTACAGATCTATAAAATATGCAAACCTGCACATTTATCCTTGCAACCTGATAATATATCATATTTAAGTAGTTATTATAGGAAAATAGCATTATATATTTTTTCCAACAAGAAAGCAGCCTTAGCTTTAGCTGCATAAACACACACACAGCAGTGCTTACCTGTGGGTGTGGTCTGACCCAGCAGGGTGTCGGAGGCCTGCACTGTGGTTACCATGGTTCCCGTGGTGGCGTCTGCAATGGTGGCAGGGTAGTATGTGTACTGCGTCTCCGAGCTGCCGTCTCCCTCCAGTCCCTCGGGCTGGGAGAACACAGCCTGACACCAAACATACACTCACGTCAGCACTCCTCACAGGTACACAGTAAATGAGCGAGTTTATCCAAACACTGCATGTCTTAGCTCGAAGAATACATTTTCCAGGCATACATTTTTTATATTATATGAATGAGAATTTAACTGGGAGAATGTGATTCTTGAATGTGATGGCCAGTGCAGACAATATTATCGTTTATCGCAATAATTTCCGGGAAAAAGTATCGTCCAGCAAAATTAATTTTTGTGACAGGCCTAGTGATGGGGTGCAATCTGCTACAGAGAGGAAGATCTATCACTCTGTTTGAGTTGCGAGAACTACAAAACTCTGTCTACAGCAGTGTGGCAGAGTAGGGACTCTTTCCTTATTAAGAATCTTTGTAGGAAGCACTTCAACCCTGCTTATATGTAAAGCACATTGATTTTTTACAGTCTATGACCATTGCTTATGATGAATGACAATGGCTCCTTTAATACATGTACATCTTCACTTCCTTGTTTTAAATACAGCTTTTTATAAAAAAAATGACCAAGAATGTGCATTTATTTTTTCATATTTGTATTAACGTATGGTTGCCTGTTTTTCAATATGTAATTTCTCCGGTGCATGACGGATGACATATTTCTGATTCTGAACCAGAACGTTTCATTCAGGCCTGTCTTCATGTTACATCTATTTCGCTAACCTCTGTCTACTATGCTTGATTTTTGTTTCAAATAAATAGTTTTTGCCTTTATAAACACTTATTCTTGGTTGGTCAGTGTGGTTCTCACCTGTGTGACAGCCTGAGTGGATGCTGGGAAACCAGTGACCAGGCTGACGGCTGCAGCTCCATCTGTTTGACCCTCCAACTGGCCATCGGACACCTGGATCACTCTGTAAGTCACCTGGGACACAACATGTCACACTGAGTGATCAATACATTATCACTGAGGAGACCAACACACAACTGTCGAGCATACGGGGTTTGTGCAGCATTTTCTTTTACTAAAATTAAGTACTTTTAAGGAACCTAAACTAAAAATGTCCAGACTCTCAAAGCCTTTATTATTAAGATTAATACATACTTTATTTAAGAAGCACTATTATGCTATTTGGGGTGTTTCCCTTTCCTGTAGTGTGTAACATAGGTTTGCATGTAAATGGTCTGCAAAGGCTAAATTCCCTGTGTTCCCTGAGTCTAGAGGGAGTTTCTCTCCCACACACACACTGAAAAGACAAAAATAAAGACCTTTATGAAATGAGTATAATATGTCCACCTTAACCCCTAAGGGGAATTGCAATTACCTAGTGTCACTATGAATGCAATGGAAAACAACAAAGTTATAACTATGAATGCAGTTGAGAAAAAGTTTAAATATTTTCTTTATACACACAACAATCAATGTATCTTGGCAGTTTTTCATACCCACTTTGAATGTATGTTATAATCATAATTATTTAATGCTGAGCTAGCTCATTTCATCATGAGTAATTGTGTATCCAAAACGCCAGATAATTTAAAAAAATCAAGCATTTATCCAACATTATGCTCAAAATTAAGCTTACAGCTAACCTTAATAACATAACTGTTCAAAATCAAGCTCTGTCCAACACTTTGTAAGAATTCTGAGCATACAGATAGAAAGATTGCACATACCTTCTACTTTTAGGTCTCCATTAAGTGAAGTGGGTCATGAGTGCTGAGACCAGGGGGTATTGCAAATTGGCACGATTATCAAGAAAGTTGGAGTCACAGACAAGATTTGCACTTCAAATTAGTTGCATGTATCAGGGTAATACTGTGTTCTGAGAACCTGACAACAAGGACAGTCTGAAGGGGGGGATTTGGCAAATCAAAGCAGCTGCTTTTGGCCTTAACTTATTTTGGGTTTTTTTAGGGGGCGGGTTGGCTACAGTCGTCAGTCATGTGACCCCCCAAGGTCTTGTGAAGAAGCTGTTGGTTCAGGAGAGAATAGGCTTGTTTGAGATGAGCTGCGGCTCGCCTTGAAAGTAGACGAGAATAGCCGATTGCAGCCGGGGGAGTACTCAAAAAGCTCGCCTGAAGTCGGACAGCTCGGAGTCGCCTTCTTCTTCTTCTCTCGGTTTTTTGGCAGATTGCAAACAACTTTAAGGTGCATACCGCCACCTTCGGAGTCGGCTTGACTCGGTTTGCATTTATAAAGAATGCACAAATATGTTTAATCGTTAATGTCAGATATGTAATAAGTAAATACATTTGTTCCTGCTCAAGATTAGATTTTATTCTTTATTGTTATTGCACAGATTACAGGAGACAACGAAATGCAGTTTAGCTTCTAGTGCAACAAGCAGTAAAGTCAAAACTAATGTACACAATACTGAATAAAAGATAGAATGAAGTGAATGATGAATAAACAGTGAGGGGTATGAATACACTAGATATACACAGCAGCCTGTGAGCAGTATGAACAGTGTGTATGAATATGCTAAGATATATAAAGTATGAAAACGGTAAGTAGTGCAAGTATAGTATAAAATATATAGATATTAATTTCATGATGATAAACATTGTGGAACAATGATGAAAAATGTGAATGGAAGTGGCGAGGTAAAACTGACACGAAACAACAACAAACTTTTGCCGAGCCAATTGGAGAGTTTCATCAGCAGCACTTAGGTAAAAACCACCAATGAGCGCTCAGCTCGAGATACCAGCGAATCGTTTCCCATCAAGCATTTCGCTTCTGCAGCCCGTGGAGAGGAACTGCGCCGCCTCGCCGCGCCGCGCCTCGCTCTCAAGTCTGCGGGCGTCTTTGTCCCTCGAGATTTCAACGTCTCATGTAGGCGGGCCTCCAGAGCAAGTCGGACAAAATGACTAACCATCATGCAACGCACTAGCAAGACGGCGATCGCAATTGCGCAGGTCTGCGCAGGTCTCGCTCATCTCAAACAAGCCTGATGTCTACCACTTGATGTCTTTCTCCACAAATATATATTTTTAATGCCACTTCACTCCAGTGTGCTTTGACTTTGCCTTCTGTTCTGTATCTGCATAATAATCCTAAAGTACATTTTTAACTTTGATGTCTCTTTCTGATTTTTGTCTGTGTGTTTTCCCCTGAAGACTTAATTGAAACTCTTTCCTACCTGTCCGCCTGCTCCTTCTGTCTTGAAGAGATATTTGATGGGTTGGTCGGTGAAGGTGGCGGAAGACTGAATGGTGGCAATAGCTGCCGGGTCCTCTGCCGTGGCTACGGACCCTGAAGGAGCAAAAATTCACGGAAAATGTTAGTAAACTTTGAAAAAATCTTACAGAAATAACAGCTTTATTGTACTATGGGTATACATGTAATTCCACAACCGTGTGCCATCTTATAGGTACAGTTTAAATGTAAGGATATATAGCACACACAGCATGTTTTCCATGGTTAAAATGCACTCATATGGTGGTTTTATTAAAGGGTTTTCATCCTCAACCCATATCAAATAATAATTGTTTTTAACTTTAAAAAGGTTGTGTCGGAAACCAGGTTGTTTAACTTGTGTATAATAAAACATACACAGAGCATAGCAAATAATTGTAATGATACACAATATATAAATGTAAATATTCTTTGACATACTGTAAAGATAGATTTAATAGGCAATGATGTGTTTTTATCAGTGGTGTAAAGTAAATAAGTAGATTTACCCAAGTAGTGCGCTTGAGTAACATTTGAGGGACTTGGACTTTATTTGAGTATTTAAATGTTTTGCTACTTTGCACTTCTACCAGACTAAAAGTCAGAGGTACATTGTGTACGTTTACTCCACTGCATTTAACTAAAACCTTTAGTTCGTTTGCATATTTCGATTAATGATTTGAAATATAATCAACACTTAAATAAGGCGTTAGTTACACCTGGAGTAAATTCACAAGCTACCCTGAGGTATACAAAGTCATTAAAGCTAGCTGCACCTTTACCAGCTTTGATAACACTTTAATGCATCAATAATTACAATCAAAACATATAATATATATAATTCTGGAATGGGCCAATCTGCATGATGAGTACTTCTACTTTTGGTACTTAAGTACATTTTGATGCCTTTTGTACTTTTATTTAAGTAACATTTTGAATGCAGGACTTTTACTTGTAACAGAGTATTCCTACAATCTGGTGCTTTTACTTTTACTCAAGTACAAGATCTGAGTTCTTCTTCCACCTCTGGTTTTTACCTTCCTCGTTGACGGTTACACCCACATCTGGTTCAGGGCTTTTCTGTTGGCTGAACAAATGGAAATACAAGAGAGGTGTCATGTTGTTGTTAACGAATGCACTACTAGTTAGAGGATGTGTAGTCATGTCTATCAATGTATTTCTGTTGTTATACGTTGACAATAGCGCATGTTACGGTCCCGCTCACCTCTTCATTGCTGCCGAGAGTCTTGGACGACGAGACCGCCTTCACTCGCGCCCACAGCCAGACTGTGAAACAAGTTCATAAGTCAGACAATGGAAATAGTGAAACCTAGATAAAAACTATACAATACTGACAACTCATATGTCTCTTAACGACATGCCCCCAAAGCTTAAACCTGGAACGGTGTTTTGAATAAGGTTTTGGTAGCTAGCTTTGAGGCTGTACGAGCTGAAGTTACCGTGGATGGTACCGGAAGGTAGCCGTCGTCGCCTTCAAAATTAAAGCATAAAATGATGCGGGCCAAACAAAAAATCCTGTGTGCGGTGAAAAACGGTTTTATGAAACCACGTACTTACCAAATTGCTTACATGAGTTGTGTATTTTTGGTTGTGTGCTATTTCACTCAGATAGCTGACCATTAGTATTTGAACAAGTATTTTGCTTCGGGGCTTCGCACCGGAAATCATGCTTTCTTGTAGCTAGCTTGACGGGGATTCTACATTTCTGCTACATTACCACTCGGCCCCAGCGGTTTTTACAGATGTTTAACAAAGCACTTTCCATTCCTCTAACCTTGTTCGGGCAGTGACTGCAACAGCATACACAGACAATCTAAAACGAGTTTGAGGGGCTATAATATACACACACTGCTAAATTATGTAGAATATTTTCCATTCTGAGCAAAGATCTACTTACGCCGCAGTGGTCCCTCCCCCGATATTTGTCAACAGACCAGCGTCGATGACAGCGTTACGCATGCGCGATAAGGAAGACATTTGCCTGATTCCAGATCAGTTCATAGGTATTTAATATTCATTTTAATAAACAAGGAAATACAAATATCTAACGCACGGGCTGTTGTTCATACTGCCACATTCACGGGGGAGGAAGTGTGTTCAGGAGCAGGTGGGAATCTGAAACACTCGATATCAACCCATCATTGGACAGTTCTGTTAGGTAAAACTTATCATTTAAAGAGAAATCTTGAATCCATGAGTATTAAAGATATTGCACAGTTCAATGTACATACATTTATCGTATAAAATGTTGAAAATAGTTATGTTGATACATGAGAAATCGGAAAAACAAAATATTGCAAGATTAACGCTGCACAAATGAAGGCAGACCACAGCCGATAGGGACCAGTGTTGAGACGAGTGTCAGTCGGACGTCTGAAATAATATATTCGAGTTAAAAAATAAACAATAATACAAAATATATATATATATTCTGTCAAATGAAATGGTGTGGTATGGAATTATTGAAAGAGAACAAGTGAATACAATGCCATTACTAAAACAAACTTAACATTTATTTCAGAGCAACTTTGCTTCAATGATTCAAGTATTTTTATATTTTAATCTACACACTGAGGCAATTTAAGAAAGTAAAATGTTGATATGCATGTGAATCATTAACATGATGGCAGCATGTCAAACGAGAGGGACAGAATACAATGGACTGCACCCGTGGTTCGATCCCGCGGAGGGACAGAGAACAGTAAGAATACTAGAGAGGAATTGTTGTTCGAAGTAACCACTGAGCCAAACCAGCGCGGATTTACGAGCAGGTGGGTGGTGGTATAACCATGACAAAAATGACATGTTGCTTGAGACATACGGAATAAAAGGAAATTAATCTTCCGTCCAGTCAATAACTGCTATCGTGGATAAAGAACATTGAGAACAAAAAGTGACAAATGCTTGGATAAAATACAAAACCAAATAAACACATGACTATCGAGAAAGAAAGAAAGAAACAAAACATAAGACTTTTCTTTGCCAACATGTACTGTATGTTTCCATGTTTGGCCGTGGGATATGTGGGCTACTGTAAAATGAAAAGGCACGTTATGGAATTAATTAGTTAAATACAATGTAGGCTAATTTACTGAAACAAAATCAACATCAACATTAGATATTCTTTCAGCGCAGCTTTGCTTCAATTATTCAAGTATTTACTATTTTAATATCCAAACAGAGACAGTTTTGAAAGTAGGCTAAAATGTTGGTATTTATGAGAATCCTTTACATGACGACAGCATGTTAGACCAGGAGGACAGAAAAGACTGGACAGCGCAGGTGGTTCAATCCCGCGAAGAGACAGAAAACAGTTGACGTTCGAAGTAACCACTGAGCTAAATCAGCGCTCAGCTGTTCATTCCATGAATGACTATAAACATGATAAGAATGACGCGTTGCTTGTGACATCCATATAAGGAAGAAGAAGAAGAAGATGAACCTTTATTAATGAATGAAGGAAATTAATATTTTTTCCTGTCCAGAAATGCATCGTGGATAAAAATATGGAGGACTACAACTTACAATTGCATGTAGAATAAATGCAAAACCAAATAAACATGTGACTATAAAAAAAGGAAATATTAAACAAAAACTGTAAGACTTTTCTTTCCAAACATTTATGTTTTTATGTTTGGTCGTGGGAAACTATATTTACCTTAAAATTACATGGCACGGTATGGAATTATTTAGTTTAATACAATTGAATTTACTGAAACAAAATCAGCATCAACATTAGATATTCTTTCAAAGCAACTTTGATTCAAGTATTTACTATTTACTAAACTGAGACAGTTTTTGAAAGTAAAATGTGGGTATGAGAACCCTACATGACGACAGCATTTGTGACTAGAGGGACAGAAAACACTGGACTGCGCCCGTGGTTCGATCCCGCGAAGGGACAGAGAGCAGTAATTC